TTTTTTTTTTTTTTTTTTTTTTAAATTTTTGAACAACAACACCCCCCCTTTTGTCCGAAAACCAAAAAAGAGGGGGGGGGGGGGGGTAATTTGCCCTGTTTAGAAATTTGTTACATAACCACATTTTAACGCAATTTTAAACACGCTGAACTTGATTTTTTTTTTTTAGAGAAGTCGTCGTTCGTAGCTGAGCAAAGTCTCTTGGAGGGCTCTTCCTGGTGACTTGGGACATACAATAGAAGTCCTACATGGTTCCCCCCAAAAAAGCACCCATCACTTATAAGATAGCCGTGACCAATGTTATTTGGGACTTTTGGTGTGTGGGCTTGGCATTATTCAAATAGTAGGGACGATTAAGTGTTGGTGATTCACCAATATATGTATCAAACGATAACCAAGCGCTGTCGGTATGTGAAAGTTGGGGTACCGTGGGGGGGAGAGGGAAGGGGGCGATGCAGACATCAGCTGTCACAACCGATGCGGGTTGGAGATATTAACGAGATACTTACTGCCTTGATTGCATACATTAACGATATTTATCGACAGCCGATCTACATCAATCAGAATCTTACTAAATAGAGAATTTTAGATGTTGGGATGCTGAGTCGGACAAGTGCTGATATTTAGTTCTTTCCTATGTCATCGTTCATATTTTGCAGGGCTTTCCTATGCCATCGTTCATATTTTGCAGGGCTTTCCTATGCCATCGTTCGTATTTTGCAGGGCTTTCCTATGCCATCGTTGATATTTTGCAGGGCCTTCCTATGCCATCGTTCATATTTTGCAGGGCTTTCCTATGCCATCGTTCATATTTTGCAGGGCTTTCCTATGCCATCGTTCATATTTTGCAGGGCTTTCCTATGCCATCGTTCATATTTTGCAGGGCTTTCCTATGCCATCGTTCATATTTTGCAGGGCTTTCCTATGCCATCGTTCATATTTTGCAGGGCTTTCCTATGCCATCGTTCATATTTTGCAGGGCTTTCCTATGCCATCGTTCATATTTTGCAGGGCTTTCCTATGCCATC